TATTAATTACTTTTCTGTTGCTAAATACCATGACTGTGGTGATTTTTATAATCTAAGAAATAAAGCTTGCCTGAAGATCAGAGGACAGAGCTAGCCACAGAGTTAGCCACAGAGGTCAGGAAGCAGCAGCGGCACACACCTTTAATTCCAGCACTTGGGATCTCACACCTTTAATTCCAGCACTTGGGATCACACACCTTTAATCCCAGCACTAGGAAGCCTGAAACAGGAAGTGATATGCTGGGCAGAGAAAGGAATATAAGGTGTGAAGAGACAGGAACTCTCAGGCTTTCACCCCTGTATTTGGCTCTGTGTTTCTTATTTAATAAGACTGTTTAGAAATTCGTCTACAAGAGAGCAAGCTCAACGTGATGGGAAGCTTTTAGCTCTCAGAGCCCAACCCCAGTGACTTCCTCCAGCGAAGCTGCACCGCTAAATTTCTTCAAACAATCAACTAGGGACCATGCGTTCAAATACCACAGGCTACTGGGGACATGGTCATTCAAACCATGACAGCCATGTTAATTGGTTTATGTTTAAAGACTTTGGTTATGTTTAAAGACTTTCATTCTAACTTTTGGGGATATAATAGACTGGAGGATGAGAAAGGGTATAACATTTCTAGCCCCTCAATTATTGTCATGATGATCACTTGGAGGATAATCTGATAACATTTAATGATGCCTTAATATGCTCAGGCTGTTGTAATTAAACACTAGAGACTGGAAAAGTTAAACAACAGAAATTTATTTCTTACAATTAGGGACTGGAAGTCCTAGATCAAAGGCTACATGACTGTTTTATAGAGAAGGGTATGCTTTTTACTTTGATATAACCATGTACTCAAAATGGAAGAGTGAGGAGCATTTGGGGAAGAACATGGATGGGAATGTAAGCCATTTAAAGTGTTTTCCTCTAATGATACTAATCTCATAAGAACAGTACCCTTGCTGTTATGGTATTTAACCCCAACCACCTTCTAAAACCCTATCTCCACATAACATCACCTTGGAATATAGAACTTTAATGTAAATTTTGAGAGAGATTCATGCATTCCATAACAAATGGACAACCACCAAAACATTCTAAATTAGTTTAAGTTAGACTGCTCCTCCCACTCCCAGAATACATGTTGACACAAATAGATACCTAGAAGCCAGTAGGGCTGTGGTTTCTATTGGTGTTATGCTTTAAATTTTTTTTTTAATTAAACCAAAGTCTGGTAATTAGAGCAAATTTTGTTTTTGTGGCATTTCTGCTAATGTTTCAGCTACTGGCATCTTAACTCTTCTGCCAGAAATTTGACTCGACAATATTGAAAGGTTTATATTTCTGTAGAACTTGACAGTTTACAAAACTTCCATTGATCACAGTAAGTGTATGGCAATGATTATATCTGTGTTCTTTCTTAAGAAACACTGATAGAATATCATATTATTTGATTTATAAAGCGCCCTAGGTTTAGAGATGCTAAGTTGCTTGTCCAAAGTCACCCAGCAAGTGGACATAGGCTTTCAGACTTCTTTATATAATGCCCTTGTCACCGCATCTGGAAGGGAGTATTTCCATGCCATGTAACCTTGATGTTTCTTCTGTGTTTGGTCAGGGAGCCATGGTTTATTCTAGTGAATGAGAAGGATGGTTTCAGTGGCTCTCTGAGTGGTGAGGAAAGTTAGAAGGAAGTGTTTGAGTTAAGGCTAATCTAAGCACAAGCAGCTATGTAGTGAGTGGACAGTAGGTCTTAGGCAATGGATTCAGACATCAGAGCGTCATCACTTTTTAGCTCTGTTGCTATCAGAACCTTAGTTTCCTCATCTATGAAAATCAGCAATGTTGATATTGCTACCCTGACAGAATTGTTATAAGACTTCATTTCATACTCTAAAGAATAAGAATTGCCAAGCTTATGGCAGAGGCTCAGAAAATGTCAGTTCTCCTCCTTCCTTTTGATCTTTGGAGGGTGCTTTTAGTTATTCTGGTTGGAATATATAGTTGTGCTTAAACTATATTTTCTAAAAAAAAAAAATTGAAATTCATGTCTAGATTTTTTTCCTCTAAAAATATTTAAAAGCTCCCAGTACAGTCTTAGACTTATTTTCCAGGGACATGGGAGATCCTTCCAATTTGTGTTAAATCAAGGAAGAACCTGAAGGTGCTGGAATGAGTTTGCACTAATTTTCTGACATGCAGTAGATAATACATGGGCTAGTACTTACTTTTCATCTTAAAACTCTACTAAGCTTCTTTAAGCCATCATGCCTATAATATCAGTATCATAATTATCTGGTACATGTTCCAGATAAAGAATCTTCTAACTCGGCGTTTCATTGCTTGCATCACTGATATTTATTCCTCTGCATATATACCACACTTCTATCAAGTCCTTCCATAAACAGCAGGCATGGTTTTATTAAAGAAGCAAATGGGGCTGAAGAGATGGCTCAGTGGTTAAGAATACTTTTTGCTCTTGAAGAGGACCTGGGTTTGGTTCCTAGCAACCATGTGGAGGCTTTCAACCATCTGTTCTCCAGTTCCAGGAGATCCAATGCCCTCTTCTGACATCCACAGGTACCAGGCATGAATGTAGTCCACAGACATACATGTAGGCAAAGCACTCATACACTTAAAATAAATAAATATTTTTTAAAAGGCTGTTGCAAAGAAAAAGAAGGAAAAACGTTGAGAGTCAGCATCCTGTAAGCATATGTGCTGTTGTCTAAATATGTGCTATTGTCTAAATTAGGTTCCTATTCAACTGTCTTTCAGTGAGAGCCCACAAGAAAATTGTGGAATTGAGACAACTTCTGGAAATCGCTGAGAGTAACTTCAAACACTTGGGTGGGATAACAGAAGAGGATCTACAGCAGAGGAAAGAACAGCTGGAGGCTGAGAAGTAGGGTCCTTAAAGCCAGTGCTTTGTGTTTCAGTGCCTATGAATCCCACGTGGGGCTTTCTTACTGGAAATGTGTTCTTTCATTCTGCCAGAGTTAGGTTCCATTCTTTCCCCTCCTGAGTTCTTTAAGATGTTTTTAAAGTTGTGAAATAATAGGCTTAACATCAAGTTACCATATCAGCAGTTTTAAGTGTGTAGTTCAGTAGTGTTAAACATACTCATGTCATTGTGATTCTAGTCCTCCAAACTACTTTCATTTTGTAAAGTTGGCATTATTTATGGAGTTCTTGAGACCACAGCTATTTTAAATCCTTCAGCCAGCATAGGTGACATGGTCTGTAAACATTCTCATTAGGCTGAACTTCCCAATCAAAAAATTATGAAATCCATTTCTTTGTTCACTAAATTATAGGCCCAGCATGCTATCCTCACCATTCAATTATAGAGACAGAAACTCTGGTTCAAGTCACAGCATCTTTTATCTGGATAATTATCACATTTTCTTCATAGGTGTCTCAACTCACTGACCTCTGCTGTTACCCATACTTCTTACCCTGTAGTTTGTTCTTAACACAACGTCCAGAAAAATCATAGAAAAGCTTAAACGAGATCATGTTGCAATGTCAAGCCCCCTCCTGGCTTCCTGTTTTACTCATAAAAGCTCTGACTGAGAGGCTGTATTTGTTCTGGTTCTCTTTACCGCTAATCTACATGACTGTCTTATTTAAACTATTCCAGTCATGCTAGTCTGTAGTTTTCTTGTATTTGCTTAGGCAGAATCCTTTCTTAGGGCTTGTTCCCTACTGTCTGGAATGATCTTTCCACGGTGTCTAAACACTTCTCTCTCATTCCTTTCAGGACGTGGCTCAAATCTCTTTTCAGTAAAGTCTCCCTAGTCACTGTATATGGAGTTGCCCTTCCTGTTGCTGTGATAAAACATTCCCCAGAACCAGTTTGGAGGGGGAAAGGGTTTATTTGTTCCCTCTTTCCAGATGTGCTTTTGTGACATTGACAAAAACTGACCAGCCCAATTGACCCTGGTCAGTTTGGCACAAATATGTAATTATTAAACCAACCTTTCTTGTTTATCCCTAAGATCTCATGTTAATATTATAATATAAAACATAATATAACTTTTAAAAATCCTAACGTCTTTTAAAAATTAAAACACTTTAAGAGTTAAAAGGTTTCTTCCCTTCTTCTTGGCATGGTGGCACACAGTGCTTGGGAGGCAGAAGCAGGAGAGTTCTGTGATTTGAGGTCAGCCTGGTCTACGTAGTGAGTTCCAGGACAGCCAGGACTAAATGGAGTGATCCTGATTTAAAACAAAACAAAACATAAATTATTATTTAAAAAAAATAATGACAGGGTCTTATTATGTAGCTTTGGCAGTCTGGAATTCACCATATAGCCCACAGAAATTTGCCTGCCTCTACCTCCTGCATGCTGGGATTAAAGGCGTGTGCCACATGCCTGGAACCTGGGAGAGTCTTAAGTGTTACCAAGTTCAACTTCTGGCTTAAGATGCTGCCTTGACCTACGTCTGGACCACAGCCTCCATGTGCTGACCCTGAGGAAATACTTGCCAGAACATTTCACCTCAGTAATTCTGACCTCTTGTTCATCACAGCTGCTTCCTCAACCTCAGCTAACCGGTGTTAATTAGGCCAGCAAACCCAGTTTCCTCCAGTGGTGCTGGGCTCTTGTTAGTCACAGCTGACTCTTCAGCCCTAGCTGAGGGCATCACTGTTGCAGTGAAGCACAGGCCAGCTTCCATAGATCTAAGCTCAGATAGATCACAGGAATGGCCCTGACAGAGTCTCTGCTTCTTCCAGAAACAGCTCATCCTACATCTCTCACCAAGCTTACTTACTCATCTTACTTCCAAGCTCCTACAATAGTTCATTAAGCTTTTAGTACTTAGAGCCCAAAGTTCTGAAAGCTTCCACAGTGCTCCTCAGAACAACATGGCCACGTCTGTCACCATGTTGTGGGTCCAAGGCTCTGAATCAACCCAAGCAGACACAGGTTCTGAAAAGCAAGATTTATTGCAGGGCAGTACTACAGAAACTAATTGGTCAAAGACCACAGTGCAGACTGGGGAGCTGACTTTGTCCCCAAATGTTCATGTCAGCAAATATTTAAGTGCAAACCCCACAAACATCTGTGCCAAGTTACAGTTACATTTTTCAACCAATCAGGATTCAAAGATTGGGGGCTTTCCCTATGTGTTCCATCACTGTTAAATGACATACAATGTAAGCTTTTCAGTCTAACCAATCAGATTCATTTGTTCCTTATGTTGTTAGGAACAGCCATAATGTTTCTAGAGAACTAAAGATGCATAACAGACTATTTCTATGTTTAAGGAGGAGGTAGGTCAGCTATTAGAAGGTCCCCAGCTCCCCTAGGACTTGGGAATGTGAACTTTGTTTCACCCTACAAGTAAAATGGAGTCTGAAATCAAAATAGCAGTAGTTAGGACAAGGTGTTTTTGCCTGTTCCTAACAATATCAATAGCCCACTCTGGTACCAACTTCTGTCCTAGTTTGCTTTTTTGTGGCTGTGATGAAACATTGACCAAAACCAACTTGGGGGAGGAAAGTGTTTATACTTCCAAGTCACACTGTTAAAGGGATGCCAGGGCAGGAACTCAAGGCAAGAGCCTGGAGGCAGGAACTGAAGCTCTCACTGACTGGCTCCTCATAGCTTGCTCAGCCTGATTTCTTATACCCTAAGGGTCGCCTGTCCAGGTGAGCTTGGCTGGGCCTTCCCACACCATTCCTTTTAATCAAGAAAATGTCCCACAGGAATGCCCCTGGGCAGTCCAATGGAAAGAATTTCTCAGTTGGGGCTCCCTCTTCCCACATGACTCTAGCTTGTGTCAAGTTGACAAAAAACTAACTAGCACAGAAGTGTTAATCACCTGCTCCACATTTTCTATTACTGTTTCTTGCTTTATTTTTCTCCCCCTTAGTACTTGTTACCTTCCTGCATACCATGTATTTTGCTTATTTATTTCTTGGTCACTACTCATTCCCAGTACTTAAATCACTGCTGATTCATATAAGACCCTAAATACAGTTGACAAATAAGTGATTTTATTTGCTTTAAACTCAAAGTATAGATGCTTTCCACACTTAACAAAAATAGTTGTTATGTAAATCATGATTGACTGAGAAAACATTTTTGCTAGGACCATCAAAGAGCTGCAGGACCAGCTGGCCTATGAGCGACTCCGCAGAGAAAAGTTAGAGAGTCAACTGGACGAATACCGAGCAGAGGTGGATCAACTCAAGGAAACGCTGGAGAAAATTCAGGTCCCCAGTGTCGTGGCTATGGTTGGTGTTCTTAAAACATTCTTTTTCTTGATAAGTGGTATATAGAGGAGCCTAAGATTTTGAGCTTTGAGTTGGGGGAGAATTTGAATCCTGTCTATAATCTTTTTTGATGTGGGTTAGCTTTTGGCCTATCTGAACTTGTGTTGCAAACTAGAGCTAACAATACTTTCTAGAACTGACATCAAGATTGTGAATTTGACACTCTTTGCCACTGTAAGTATTATTTTTTACTATCTGGAGCTGTATTTTGAGTTTCAAATACATAACTTTTGTTATGAAAAAAAAAGCCAAAATCAAAAGGGCAAGAATTTAAATAGTGATTAAATTTAAAAAGAAATTAAATAGTGGTTCCATCCAGTGTCAACTTTTCTAGAAGAAACAACCTCCCCACAAAGTCCCATATCAGCAACCTCTGCACAAACAAGAAGCATGGAATGGGGACAGAAAAATTGTTTCTCTTTCAGCAGGGAACTTAGAGCATTCAGTCTCAGTAGACTGACTAGGCTTTGATTCCCGGTCTTCTGGGTCTTCTGCAAAAAAAGACGCTGTGAGCCGGGTGTGGTGGGGCACACCTTTAATCCCAGACTGGGGAAGCAGAGGCAGGTGGGGCTCTGAGTTCGAGGCCAGCCTGGTTTACAGGGTGAGTCCCAGGACAGCCAGGGCTGTTACACAGGAAAACAGTATGAAAACACACGGTGATGTGGCTCTGGGGACAGCTTATCCTGACATTATGGGGACTGAGAAACATTAATATTTTCATCCTTTACCTCAGTTTTTTCTTCAGTGTCCGTGGATAAATTGTTTAGACCTTTGTCACCTTCTCTGATCTGTAACAAACTCCCAGGCTTTCTTTTATCCAAACTAATCATTAGCCTCTTAATCACTTCAGGGATGGTGACATAATAGAGTTGCTTGTAAGATGTTGAAACCAGATAAATGTTCCCCAGATGAAGCCTCTGCTAACAGTTTAGTTCATGAGATGTAGAAAAAATTTCCATTTATCTGTGACACATACTTGTATGTATGTCTTCCTTCCTCCCCACCCCCTTATAATTTTCTTGAGACAGAGTCTTATGATACCCCAGACCTAACATGCACTAGGTAGCCCAGGCTGGTCTGATCTTATCTCCACTTCTGTATACAAAGACTATCTTGTACTTTAGTATAATGTTCTCACTAGGGCTCCCTTCCTTTGTTCAGACCGATAGCTGACTATTTCCACCTGAAATTCCTAGCAGTGTCTAATTTAAAACTGTCTAAACCAAACTTAACATCAAGACCAGAGTTTCACCCCTAGGTCTATTTTCTTAATTGCCTATTTTTC